GGCATACACATAAAACAAAACAAAACAAGAAGCATTTACTCAGCTGCAACAAGGGACTGCTGAGGATGTTCATTGTGATGAACAAAGTTCTCAGCTTTCAGGTTTAAGACAGGTCGAATTACTGGGTTTTTATTTGACAGCCCTTTCCAGTTGAAATGGAGTTTTAGTGACCCTCAAGTAGCAACTGCTAGGAGAATCCCTGTGAATCCCAGGCTAGCCTGAGCAATAAAATGAAGCAACTGTTATACTCAAGGCTCCCCCACTCCCTCCCCCACAGAACAACTTATTCATAAATGCATTGAGGTCAACTGTCCCAAAGATTGCCTGCTTTTCAAAAGCAAGAGTGAATACTGTTTCTACTCCTTTTAAAGATTGTTTTATTGTGCCAAGCAGTGGTATCCCAGCATTCAGAGGGCAGAGGCAGGCCAATCTCTGAATTCCAGACCTGCTTAGCTACAGAGTTCCAGGACAGCCAGGGCTACACAGAGAAACCTTAACTCAAAATAAATTAATTAATTAATTTTAAAAAATCTTAGGCTACACAGCTTAGAGATGGGATACTTGATTAGCATGGCAGAGGCCTTGGGAGCAACCCTCAACAATACAAGAATAAAAATAAAGTCTTTGGGGCCTTTACAAATTTAGTTCATCAGTATTAGCTCATTTTATCATCAGGAAAAAAAGAGAGATGAGAACTTTCATTTTCTGTTAGTTTCTTGTGCCCACAGGGCTTCCTTCCCACCTTCACTGGCCAAATAACCCAGATAAGCAGGTTCTTCGTGGCACTGTTTCTGCAGCTACATCACCTCCTGAGCAAGCCACAGAACCAGGTCACCTTTTAGGACCCAATGGCTTCGTGTCCCTTACTCAGCACCCTGAGCTATAAAACCCACATCCCAAAACCTTCCTCATAACACTATGTCCCTTTCAGGTGTTGATACAACCTTTAAGTTCTTGCTAGGGGCCAGGCCCCTCCTACAGGGCAGTGAGACTGGTGTTTCCAAGGGCATGGCTCCTGTCAGCTCCAGGCCTGTGAGTCAACAGGATGGGTTGGGTGAGGGGGCCCACTCTCCAAATCCCCTCTCCAATGCTCAGCCTGACAAACCGTGCACACAGACATGACAGGGGATTGTAAAAATGCACCACAGACAATGTAGCTAATGTACCAGGGTCCCCTGCAAAGGAGCCAAGGGCCAGTCAGGAAGGGATGTGACCAAGGCACCCGGAAAGGAACTGCCTTTGTGAACATTGGTTTACTTCCTCTGTTTATCCCCTTCTCCAATGGGAAAGAGAGAGAGAGAGCGACAAGGAAAAAGCAAAGTTGGATGCTGGCTATACTCCGAGAATAGCCTGTAAGCCATTCGGGCAGTATTTTTTTAATAGAATAGATGAAAGAATGATGAGCCAGGCTGCCAAAATCAGCAGGGCAAGTAAGTCCTGTGTATTCAGCTCTAGAGGGGCCTGGACACAGTTCAGAAAGAACAGAGAATCCAAAGACAGAGATGCTGACTCCTGAGTAGAACTGCCAGTCAGACAGCACAAGTTAATTTATATTTTATAAGGTAGTGAGCTGCACCACTGAGGGAGAAGCAAGGAGACTTTTCTGGAATCTTCTGGTTCCTGTCCCTCCCGGATCTTCAAATGCCACTCTAGCCTGTACTAATAGAGAATTCTCAAAATAAGAATGGTATTCATTCCTATTGTTAGTTTCTTAGCTTGCACAAAAAAACCAGCACCATGTAAACCAAGTGTGGTAGCCTATACCTGTAATGGTAGCACTTGAGAAGTAGAGACAGGAGGATCAGAAGTTCACAGTCGGCCTTGGCTACATAAGGAATTCCAGAACAGCCTAGGCTACATGAGACCTGGTCTCAACAGAGAGAGGGGAAGAGAGAGAGAGAGAGAGAGAGAGAGAGAGCACAAAGCACTCATGATGAAGAATAACCTTTAAAAATCCTGTGTGTGTACCTGTGTGCACACTCAACATACTCATCTGAAGTCAACCCCAGGATCTGACTGTCCCCAACTCCCTATCGCTGAGATGACAACCACATACTACCACTCTAGGCTTTTAGAAGGGAGGGGGAAGGAGGGAAGGAGAGAGGGAGGAACTGGTGCTCTCCTCAAGTTTATACAACAGACAGCTTACTGACTGAGCTATCTCTGCAATCTCCTAAGCAATCGTCTTAAACCTTAGAGAATAAATATTGACCTCAGAAGATGGGCTGAGTGTACCCAGTCCTATTACAACTGTCTGCCTGAAGGACAGACCCAGAAAGAGGCCCAGGCATGAACTCACAACAACTTATGAAGCTCATTTTGAAGGGGAATAACAAGGTTAATGTCATAAAGTAAGAATGGCAACACTAATGTCTTAGTTCCTCTATTTCTTGGTCTACTTCTCTCTCTCTCTGACAGGGTTTCTCTGTGTGGTCCCGATTGTCCTGGAAACCCAGGCTGGCTTTGAACTCACAAACATCCACCTACCTCTGCCTCCCAAGTTCTGGAATAAAAGGCATGCTTGCCTGGCCACTGCCGCTGCCACCACCACCAGGCTTCCCCTTTTTTTTTTTTTTTTTTTTTTCAGATTTTTGAGAATCATACACAGGCTAGCCTCTAAGTAAAAACAACCATCTGCCCCAGTCTTCCTAAATTCCAGGATTACGGGTGTAAACCACCATGTCTGGCTTATTTTCTCTTAAAGATGGTTTGAAAGCTTTTTTAAAGTTTTTGTTTATTGATTACATGTGAGTGTGGATGTGCACAGGAGCATGCATTCACAGACATCCACATGGCACAGCCCATATGTGGAGGTCAGAGGATCACTTATCAAAGTCCGTTCTTTCTGTCTGTTGTATGCTTCCTGGGGATCAAGCTCAGGTCATCAGGGTTAGCATCTTTACATGCTGAGCCATTTCGCCCAAAAGATAATTTTTAAATGAAATTCGACCTACATCTTCAATGAGTATTTGTTGAATAAGTGACAGAAGTTTATTTTTGTTTTAGTTGTTTGTTTGTTTTGCTTTCCCTTTGTTTAGAGGATAGAATCTCACTTTGTTGCCCAGGCTGCTCACCAGGTAGCCCAGACAGGCTTCTAACTAAAGTTGATAGACCAGCCTCTGCCTCCCCAGTGCTGCTATTGAAGGCAGGAGCCAGCACAACCAACATCAAAATGCTTAAATCCAGTGATATTTACTCCTTGAACTTCCCAAAGTCACTTTTCTTCTTATTATTATGTCATCTTTTGAAATGTTTTAGAGAACTAACCCAAGTCAGGCACTAGGGAGGCTGAGTCAGGAGGATTGCCGAGAGTTTGAGACCAGCCCAAGCTATGAATACCAGGCCAACCCAGCCTACAGCATGAGACCCTGTTAAAAAACCACCTAAACCAAATCACTATGTCTTCTTCCCTTCTCCCAAGCTCTGTACCATGTCTCAAATATTCTATTAGCTTGAAATATTCAAATATTCAGTTAGCTTGAAAACTGATTGAAAATTGATCAAAGATACAATTTATTCAAAAATACTTCAGTAGTTTCCTGGCTCTTGTCCTGTTTTTCCAGATTAAAACTTTATCAGTGTTGTTCTTCTGTTTGTTTCCTTCCTTCCTGCCTGCCTTCCTTCTTTCCTTCCTTCCTTCATTTCTTCCTTCTTTCCTGCCTTCCTTCCTTCATTTCTTCCTTCTTTCCTTCCTTTCCAAAAAACAAAAGCTATTAGAGCCATGACAATGTGGTGATATTCCAAAGGAATCCTGAGCCATTATCATCAGCCATATAGATATTTTATAAGGCTTTTCCATCATCTTCTAGAAACAGCTTTGAAATTAAATCAAAGCATGCCTTGATGAAATGTCAGAGAACCAATGAGGTAGCTACCTTACCTAAAACAAAGCAAAACTCAGGCTTCTTAGCATCCAGCTTTTTTTTTTCTTTGTCCCCTATCCCTTCTCTCTCCAGGAATGTCAAGAATTTGAATTCCCTGTTCTTAAGGTGAAAAGGGCATTAACACAAAGGGCCTTATGAAGAGAAGTAAGGAATCCTGAGATGGGGAACCAACCTGACAATAAAATCTCCCAGGCTCAACATGACCTCTTTCCTATGCTTCAGACACCATTGGAAAACAGTACTGGGACTCAGGTCCTCAATCAGGAGTGAGCCAGCTCTCCACCTCCTTGTCAGTTCACTTGCTCTTTTATTTCAACACTCAGATTTAGATTTAAAATAGTTGCTAAAAAAGCAGGGACACTCAACAGATTCTGTGTGTGCCAGAGTTGTGCACATTGTCAGCAGGGCAAAGGGAATACAGCAGCTTTGAAAGGGGTTATTTCATGTGGAGGGGACATTCTGGACAGCTCTCCACCATGGGGTTACTCAATAGTAGATAAAGGAGGTGGGAATGGTCTGAGGAGCCGCCCAGCTGGCTTGCAGTGTCAAAGAGTAATCCACCCATAGACTGAGTCTCACCTGGAAAGTTCAGCAGGGTAGCTGGCCCACTCCTCCTTTAAAGATTTTCTCCTGGAGGTGCCCAAGGAAAGCAGGCTGTTCACAGGCTGACCCCTGAAGCTGTGCCTGCCCAGGGGTACATTTCTCTAAACAATAGTAGAACTCAAAATCCTCCCATTCAAGGACTGGACGTTACCCTGCTGGTACTCACATGAATAACCAGCATGCTTGCTTTGGGGTGCTTAAAGAGAAAACGACTCTGAAATCAGCTAGTACTACCCAATTCTATAAGAGCTCGGCCATCACTTTGATACAATGTTATTTTGTTGTTTTAAAATATTTTAACTTTATTATTATTTTTATAGTATTATTCCAACAGACTGTTTAAAGGCAGTGATCACTAATACAGAACACACAGGGGCTAACAGTCAGCCAGGTTGCTCTCAGGACAAGGCCTGCAGTAGCCAGGTCACTGACATGCACGTGGGTAGCTAGTACGCTGCTACCTTCATAGCTTAGGCTGCAAGAGGAGTGACGGAAAAGACAGGTACCATTGGGCCCGTGGAAGCTATTTAATAAATATCATCAAAAAATAGAAGGAAAAATAACCCTCCAGAGTACATCCACCTTAGGTCAACTGAAAGCAAGCTAGTTTATTCAACCGAAAATCCAGGAAAAAGGAAAACATTAAAACTGGAAGAAAAAAAAAAGCAGTTCTTAACGCTAGCAGTAAATAAATTTATACAACAATTCAGTCTGTATAATATGATGAAATAAATCTACATCTTTTCTTATTTTGGTGCTTCAGAATTATACATACAAACAACAATTACAGGGACTGGTTCACAGAGCATGGAGGCCTAGACATGACATTCTTAAATCCTCACTGGCAATTGGTGAGATTTCACACTGATTGCCCAGATCTGAAATTTCCTTTGCAAAGGCTCACAGCCCGGAACAAATGATTTGCCTACAACATTTTTTTCTTGGATTTTTTTTTCTTTTCTTTTTTTTTTCATTTCTTTTTTTTTCTTTTTTTTTCTCTCTCTCTCTCTTTTTTTAATGCATCAAACAACTAAAGGGAAACAAAACTGACAGCGTGCCCATTTGGACATCAAGACTTAGTTTCTTCTGTATCTCCCTCCATACTTTATTTTCCCCATATTCCTTAAAATTCTTGGCGTCCTTCATGCCTTTCTTACAGCTATCCAGGTACAATAAAGTCTTCCTCAAATGTACAGTATTTCTTACAATATAAGTTATATGCAATGTTCAGCAATATTTTTTTCACAGCACTAGAGACCCTGTTAAATAGGGAATATGAGTCTGAATGGCTTATTCACAAATGGGATCCGGATTCAGTGGTTGGAACACAGACACCACCGGGAGCTCCTTTGAAAAAGAAGCAAACATTTTGCTTTCTGCCTTCAAAAACACAGATCTGTCGCTTTCGGGCTTCATGATACTGCTCCTGCAAAAACGCAAGTAGAAGGGGTCAGAGGGATTCTTTGTGGACTTGGAAACTCCTCGTGCATATGGAGCAGGGCTCTCCCTCTCTACCCCATGGCGGTGACCATGCTGGAGGGATGGTGAGGTCCAAAGGAGAGCCCAGAGGGCGGGTGCATGGGCGTCGGTGTGGTCAGCATGTGGCTGGAGTGGCTGAACGGGGAGATGTGACTCAAGGATGACATGTGTCTGGAGAGGGCAGCTGGGTTGAAGGAACTGCTCTTGGGGAAGTCCTCCAGCGCGTCATGAACCTTTTTGCACTTTTTGGATTTGCTAGACATCTTCCGGTTTCGGGTCTGGATGCCTTCCTTCTTCATAGTCAGGGGTCTGTTAATCTAAACAAAGATCAATTTTTTTTTTTTTTTTACTTTTTTGCTGCCTTTGAAATGGTACAGGCTTTTGCACAGTGGCATGGCACCCTGCCACCTGCCCAAGCCAGGGATGTGTTTCTGTGTTGGTTATCCCACCTGCTCCTTCTTTTTTTCCAGGGACCCAGGTGCTATAGTGCTACTGTAAGGGTTTTCCGACTCAGCCACCACAGCTTTCAAAGGCCAGAGGTGCGAAGCATAACTTAACTAAGCTCATCATAATTCAACTCTGGGATGCTGGCATGTTCAGGGCCCACCTAGTAAGAGTGTTACATCTGACAACTTAAAATACAATGACCTGTCTTACTTCTTTAAGATTTTCCTAAGGTATTTCAGAAGACAGGGTTTGAGGCTTTTTCCAGGGGGGGACACACCATTTTGCTTACTTGCTTGATGAATCTAATCTGACACTAGCCACACAGAGCAAGCATGCACTAGGTGATTGGAGGTGTGAGTCAAGCTTCCAGTGCTGAAATCTACCTTTCTAGGAAATTAGGTCTCCTGTACCTCACTGCAAAGGTCTGGCTGCCACTCTTCTACCTGGCTTTTTCCACAATGTAATGTGCTAGAAAACCTTCCTCTGGAATGTGTGTGTTCTAAGACTTTTGGAGGGAGGAATGTTCTGGGGATGGAACCCAGGGCCTCACCCTGCTAGGAGCTACACAGTGCCCAGGAACCTATCCAAAAGCAGTGGCTATTCCAAAGGATAACCCTGTGTCCACATCACCCAACAGCAATCACAGTGATTGGTAGCTGCTGCTGCCCCTAGCCTGCCTCTGCGTTTTGAATAGGACAAGCAACTAAAACCAACCAAACAACCCAAAGTCCTTTGATAGCACGTAAGGAAACTGGAAGTCAAAATTAAAAATCAAGAATGCTTCAGATAAAGATGCAAGATCTACTCTGAAGATCACTAGGCTTGCAGAACATGATGGCATAAACCTAGAATGCAGGGATGGGAGGATTAGGAATTCCAGGCTAACCTGAGCTACTAGCAAGACTCCACTGAAAGAGACCATCCTCTTGGTTAAGTGATTAAGTGTCCTTTTAAAAGTCATGTACTTTGAGGACATAGAATCAAGTATGGGACTTTACAAAGCTAATAGAGGCAAGTCAATGTAAACAGCACACATCTGCCACAAAGAACCAACTGCATATCTAGCCATGTTCCCAAAAGTCTTGACAAGAGGGAACCAGGGCCCATTGCTGCCTGCCTTGGGCAAACAGCCCCAGCCACCAGGCTTCAAAAACGTGGATAAAAAGACTGCCTTAGCTCCAGTCTGCACTTCTCTGCTCCTGAGGCTGGAAATGACGGTTAAGGAAGGAAAGACCCGAATAGCCAAGAAGGATCAAGTAAGACCACGGCTTCCTGCTGCTGGCAGGTCACCTGAGAGGGATATCAAGCCCCACACTGGAGCCTCAGACTTTATTTACCCCTATGACAGGAAGATGGGGTGAGTAAAAGCAAAAGAGCCAAAGTAAGTGCCAGAAAAATGTCTCAGGGCTCCTTCAGGTTGTCAGGAAGATAAAGATGCCGCCCACAGAGATGACAGGTATCCACTCCCACGTCAGACCTTCCCTAAGATAATGTCTAGATACACCACTGTGTATACCAATCACTAGATGTACACAGCCAGATATCTAAATATAATATCTAGTTACACCAATAGCTACATGGCCACAGATAGCTTGTCACAACACACCTAGATACGCTGATGCCGAGATAGGTAATCATCTAAACACCTAGATAAGAAGACGGGAGCCCGTGGCGTACATGTGCAGACACAGCATGGGCAGAAGAAATTACACGCCAAGAAAATGGTCGTAGATGATTATCTTATTGTTCAACACACCTAAGTTGCCTCCTTTGATGAACCCATACTAAGCCAAAAGGCAGAAAAAGAAGAAAAAAAAAAAAAATACACACACGAGAATGAGAAAACTCCCCCCCACACACACCTTAAGCTTATAACTGCAGCACTTGGGGGCTGAAACAGGGGGACTGCTGGGTCCAGGAAGGAATGAGGAGTGAGCAATAGAGAAAAAGTCAACAGGCTGAGAGTGTGACTCAGCGATACGGCACTCCCCTCAGATGCGCAAAGCTGTGGGCCCATCCCCAGTACCACCGGGGAAGACAGTATTATTCAAAAATACGCACACATGCTTGTGTGAGGGAGCAGCTTCATGACAGCTCATTGCTACTATTTTAAAAATTAGAGGTAGCTAGTTTCCCATATTTCTATAACTCCATGGAGGGAGTAAAGAGATGCACACGCGACCGCTCCTGGAGATCTGGTGGCTCTGTAAGGTCAGACTGAGAGCTTTCCATGGGAGTTCACTCCTGACACCTCGACTTCCATGGGAGGTCTCTGACACCCTGAAATCAGCCCTGAGTTCTACTTCATTAGTTATGTTACCTTGCATACCCTAGGCACATGCCTTTCTGAGTCATAGCTCCTTCAAGTACAACTGAAATAAAGAGCCTTTGCCCTATCTACATCATAGGGCTGTCTGAGGCTCCGATGTCATCAAGTAACATGGACGTTCTTAGAGAGCTGGAAATTGTAGCTCAGAAAATAACCACATAGACTATGGGGATGCCTGGAGAGCTAATAAATGCTAATGTTCGAGTCCCCACCAGATCATAATCACAAATCTTTCTAGCTGCTCTGCCCCATATTTGAAAGCAGGACTTGATTTAGTTGCTGATAAATCTGTATGTACCATGGTCCCAGAAGGTGGGGGAAGCACAGCAGATTCTACTTAGGAAGGCTCCAGTTTCCTTATGATGGGCAACACTGAGGGGACCGTGTCAAGAGGTAAGTTTCATGGAATCTCAGAAAGTTTATCTCAAAGAGAGACAGAGACACACAGAAAGACAGAGAAACAGAGACAGAGGGGGGAAGGGAGGGAGGGAGGAAAAGTTTCCCCTTCTATTCCCAGGTATTCCTGGGTAAAGTGAGTTACTGTGAGAATAGCCCCAAGCAAAAATTCCTGCTTCTTCCTCATTCCACCCAGACTCGGCCAAAGGCAAAAGAAACCAGGAAAATAATGTAAAGTTGAGGAACAGGAGAGAGGCAACAATTCTTTTTTTGTGGAGGAGGGGGAGCTTGGTATTAACTATATATACATTTGAGGCTGTTTTCTGCTACCTAGTGAGTTCAAGGCCAGCCTAGGCAATATGAAACCCTGTCTCAAAAAAAGAAAAACAAGCAAACAAACAAAAGGCTGCCGGTAGATCCAGCTAGACTCTGTTGACTGACAATTGTCATTCTTCTAATGAGGTCCAGAAGGAAGAAGTAACCATTTCTTTTCTTTTGTTTTTTGAGATAGGGTTTCTCTGTGACTTTGGAGGCTGGTCTGGAACTCACAGAGACCCACCTGCCTCTGCCTCCTGAGGGCTGGGATTAAAGGTGTGCACCACCACCGCCCAGCTAAGAAGTAACCATTTCTTTTCTCTAGTTCCAACCTCACTTCTTCCTTCAGTTGTTTATATGTGAAAGCTGGTTGGGTAAGGACATCCAAAGAAATCTTCAGACATTTCAGTTCATGTTTGTCACACAGAGCATCATTTGAAGTTCACAGGGACTGACTGCCAAGGTTTTCTTCTCATCAGTAACCAAAACTTTCCTATTTTGCTCAGAAATAGATGGTAGCTCCTTGGCCCCATCCCCATGCAAGGGAACATGGAAACAGAAGTGGTGATTTCCTGGCTTGTTTTGTTTTTTGACACACAGTCTCTTTATGAAACCCTGGCTGTCAGAGAAATTCATCATGTAGACCAGGCTGGCCTGGAACTCACAACAATCTACCTGCATTTGTCTCCCAAGCACCAGGATTAGGTGCTGCTCCACCTAACCTGGCTTTAGAACTGATGATTTTTCTGTTTTCCAAGAAGATATTTTTCCCCTTAAAACCCAGATAGGTCCATGTTATTATGTATCAACTTTCAACCTCACATAAAAACTGTCCCAAAACATACCAAATGGGTAGTGGGAAGCATTCTTCTCCACTTTTTTGTTGTTTTTGAGGCAGGATCTTGCTATGTTGCCTTGGTTGGCCTAGTACTAGCTATGTAGGCCATGGTGGCTTCCAACTCATGGTAGTTAGTCCTCCTGTCTCAACCTTCTAAGTGACAAGATTATGGATGTGTTACCAAACCTGGGTTCCTTCTCTGTCTCTAACCCTTCCATCTTAGCCCAGACGTTTTCAAAACTCTGTCCAGCCACATGTGGTGACACTCATCTGTAATCTTAGCACTCTGAAAGATGCTGCAATAGGAAAACCAGGAGCCAAAGGCCAGCCCCCTCTCATGTAGAGTTCAAAGCTAGCCTAGGATATATAAAACACATGTCTCAGAAAACCAAGAATTAAAAATAATAAAGTCAGTCCTACTATGTTGATTTGCTTAGCTCCAAAGACATTGACTAAAACCCTCAGGAATCTGGATACTGGGGCTGTTTCAATGGTATGTATGGTCAGGGTCCCCACCACCCCAGCTGGGTCCAGTCCCACTTACATTGTGCAGCTTGTAGTAGAGCCCACAGGCATTGCAGACCGGGTCCCCATTAGCGTTCCTCCTCCAGAGGGTGGTGGTGGTGGTCTGACAGTTTGCACAGGATGTCCCTGCTCTCCTTGCTGCTGACTGGGGGTGGGGAGAGAGGAGAGGATGAAATCAGAACAAATAGTAAATGTGTTGGTGGAGCTACAGAGACAGTCGTGGAAGCAAAAAAAAAAAAAAAAAAAAAAAAAAAGGGGGGAAAAAAAAAAAAAAAAAAAAAAAAAAAAAAAAGGAGAGAGAGAGAGATTGAAATCAAAACTAGCAAGTGGGCCACATGAAAGTCATAAAGATCCCAAGTCATCCTTGAGAAGAAAAATGCAGCCAATCCAGAGTTTAGGAGTCCCCGTGGGGGCCTCAGCAGGCAGGCAACCTGAATGAGGAACTGGAAAGAAGCAGAATGCTAATGCTACCTCCTTGGGAACATTACCCTCCTCCCTCCATCCCCATTTTTAAGGGGACAATTTCCAATTAGCCAGGCTAACTTTGGTACCAAGCTCTTAGTCATTTCCATTCATCATTCCCAGGCCCTCAAGAGTTCTTTTTCAAGAAAGACTACCAAACATATTAATCCTACATTAGCTGCTGGATGTCAGGGCACACTAACAGCAAAACGAAAGCAAACCTGAGCTAGGAAACCCTTGCTAGACTCCCTAACTAAGGAAATGTTGAATTAGCTGGGCAGAATGGTGGTTTCTGGGAATCTAGAACACTGGGGCAGGGGGATCACTGTTAGCTGGGTATACAAAATAGAAGGAAGCAAATGAGAACAAGGTATGCAGAGATAGCCTGGTGGAACCCAATACTTTGCACGCTAAACTAAAATTTAAATTTATATATAGATGTATAAATACAGATATTTTAAAGACTACAAAACACAAAAAACCCAGGGTGCCATGATTTAGGAAGAGGACATCCTGAGTCAAGACCCTGCCTAGTCACCCTGTAGCCATCCCACACAGCTGATACTACCAGACTTGGCAGGTCACTTGCCACTCCCAAAACAGCCAGCCTCTATAGCTTTAAGTAGGCAGCCATCATGTAATGAGACAACAACAACAAAAAAAAAAAAAAAAAAAAAAAAAAAATTTGAATCTGTAGTAGGCATCCTGGGCTCACCTGGCTCTAGTCTCACACCTCCTGCATGAGGTTCAGTATTCCCTATTTGCTATTCTCTCAGGGAGTATAGAGGATTCATAGGCCAAATGTCAGCCACATCTTGAATTTTAATTCCTTGGTTATGTAGGCTTCGTGGCTCACTCACAACTGTAATCCTTGCACTTGAAAACCTGCAAGATTGCCACCAACTGAAAGCCAGCCTGGGTTTCAGGACAGTGTGGGCTACAAAGAGAAATCCTGTCTCAAAATTAAATTTAAATGTTCTTAGTTCTGCTTTCATTTTCTTTAACAGAGATTTCTTCTACCTTTTGTATATTTAAACTTATCAGGCAGCTTTTCTATGCACATATATTTTTTATGAAAAATGCAAGTCAAAACTGGTGAAAAAAATGGAACTGTGGGCCATCAAGACAACTTGCAGGTAAGAACACTCACAACCAAGGCTGACTGGATCCCTACAGCCTATGTGGTAGAAGGAAAGAACCAACTCCAACAAGATGTACTTTAATCTACACACACACACACACACACACACACACACACACACACACACACAAACATACAACAAGCACCCGCATACATAAAATAAAAAGAAAATGGAGCTGTCGCTTCTAAAATATTCCTCCTCACCTTGGAAAGAAAATGTTAGTTCAAAAATGAGTCTGGATCTCGAGCTCAAAATTAATAGCAAAGAACAGAAGAAAAAACATTCAAATAACATCAAGAAACTTCTGGTATGGAAGCTGGAGATTCAGCTCAGTGGAAGGACTATTAACATAGCAGAAGGCTCCAGCTGGATTCCTAGTACCCCCCACACACCCAAAGAAAAGACAAGAAAACAGGAGAAAAGGAGGAAGAAGCAGGGGAAAACAGAAGGATCAAGAACAAAGGAAAGGGAAAGGAAAAAAAAAGATTCTTCTATGATTTTAAGATTATGAAACTAAAATCTACAATGTCCCTAGCTTTATTCTCTATCAATATTACATCAAGCACAAAGTTGCCGCAAATAATCCAAGCCGTGTTTGGAAACACAGGGGCAATTTTGAATTCAGCAGACAGACTCCTTTCCTTTTAAAGTCCCTAGGTTGTCCCACAGATCTGCTCCCATGGGCTTCAAGTAGCTCAGACTTTTCTTTTTTCTTTCAGGGATTGTAAGGAAGTGAAATGAAAACCAGCCCTTGTCTATCACTGAAGGTGCTGCTTTCTCACTGTCCAGTCTGAAACTAAGTCACTAAGGCCCAAGAGTGTTGATGCTGATTGGAGCCTTTGGCCACCTGCCTTTGTGAAATGTGATCATTTAATACTTAAATAACGATTTCCCCTCATGTGCTCTCTGGAAGAAAGTCCTACTGAAAACCAACGCCTAATGAATTGTGACAATTATGTTACATGTGATTATTATCACCGCCCTATGTTGTTTCGGAAGAAACATACAGATCAAGCCCAACAGTGTCGACTCAGGGAACCAGCTTTCCCAGTTCAATAACTTTTAATGAATAATGAAAATATATAAGGCCAATTAATACAATGAGTGCTCTAAAGAAAAAAAATCCATACATATATAAATAATCCTTTACAGTAGATTGTAAAAATCAAAAATATACACGAGTGCCAGATATGTCTCTGGTAAGATAAGAGTTTATACAAACTTACAGAATTGCCCAGAACCACACTGCTGGGCTCCATGGCCCAGGCATCAACAAGTCCTTCAATAAAGCAAACCTCTCAACCCATTCTATGTAAGTCATAGAAAATTCCAGAATACTAGTAGGCAGGAAAGCTATAGATCTAGCCACTAGTCCTCTCGTCTCTGTCAGTGTTTGATTTGTATCCCCTGGAGAAGTTAAGCTACATGATGGGCTAAGGCGGTCATCAGTGAGTCTCAAATATGTGAAACGAACCCAGCAAGCTGTAAAGGCCGAGCCAAAGTGAAAAGACATGATACATAACAAAGAAGAAAATATGGCTCCAATGTCCTGAACATATATTAGCCTAGGCATCTACACTCAGCACAAAGGTAAGAGAAGGAAAGAAAAGAGAACAGAAGGTTCTAGATGTTTTGAAGTAGAATGTATCTAAAGGGGGAGAGAGAAACGCTGGTGTGATGGCTCAGAGTGTAAAGAGGCTTGCCAGCAAGTCTGACGACCTGAGTTCAATCCCCAGTGGTGGAAGAGCACTGACTCTCCCTGCATGTTATCTGCTGACTTCCACGTGCACACAGTAGCATGCAGTGTACACACAAAAATAAACGAAAAGAAAATGTCTATGTGTCTTGTGTTTCATTTGAATTGTAATGGGGTTGAAAAAATCAATACCACCCTGTGCAGGGGGGGGGGGGGAATAGTGACAGCCTATGAACTCTAGAATTAAAATCAATTATTCCTCAGAGTTCCACAGATTTCCCATGAAAGGTGAGTGGAGGCAAAGCTAACAAAATAGAAGTAGAGCCCTCCCTATGTTCTCTGTACAGACAAGGAAATGCCAGACAAATCTTTCTCGTCCATCAAAAAACTATGAGACTTCAGATCTTTATAACTTTTTTTTCTTTACAATTCAAAACTGTAACTATACCATGATCTATTTCAACAAGAAGTTTTGTTGCGCTTTTTTTTTTTTTTTTTTTTTTTTTTTTTTTTTTTTTTTTTTTCGGTGGGGTTTTTGTTGTTTTTTGTTTTTTTTTTTTTTTTGCTTCTTTTCACTAAGGCTGGGTTCTGGGTGATTCACGGCATTCTTTTGTGGTGTGATCACACTCATTCTGAGCTAACACCTCCAGCATTTTTTTTTTTTTTTGTGCTTCTTGTTCTGATCCGTCTAAACATCTTGATGTTTAAGTTGGAGAAGCTGAGTTGTTGTTTATGAGTTATCTCTAGCACTCAGATATCCGGCAGCTTTTTCCTAGGAAGTTAGCTCTGCACATAAGAGAAAGGGGGAAAAAAAAAATAAAGAAAAAAGCCTAAACTGCATGAGAAGTATGTGTGGTGGTGGGAGGGAGGGGGGGTGTTGAGACAGTTGGAGAAAAGAGCAAAGATCAGATAGAATGAAGCCTAGAAATCTAAGATTGAAAAAAAAAAAAATTAAAGTCATGTGGGTACTTCCACCCCTAGAAAGTTTTCCTTTTTCTAAAGAGGATGTAAAAGGTGTTAAACTATACTGCTGTCTAGCAGGGGAGAGAGATGACGAATAGTAGGGGTCTCATCTGTTCTGCTTTTGCTATTTTTCCCCTTTAGAGTCTGCATGGAGAAAGTCTTCCCCTCCATTTGGTGAGATTCAGCATTTTGATATAGCTGGCCCCTGCCAACTACTCTTATTGTCTTATATACAATCACTGTTCAATCTGACCCAAGGTGTCAGAGTCCAGTTTACAAACAAACGCCTCCTGTTTGCTTTCTTTATACATGTTCAATGGCTCGAGGTTTATCTCAGGTAGTCCTAATAACCAAAAAGCTTAAGAAATAAAAGAGTCTATGGTGGGAGCCAGAAACTATCACCCTATGGATAGTTGCTAATAAATAATAAATAAATAAATAAATAAAACCAAAGGCTAGATAAGCCCATGAGTCAAGACAGGAATCACAAAACTTCCTCCAGGAATCACCTGTACAAAGTCCTCAAAGTCTCAGGTCAAGAAGTAGAAAAATACCAAGGGCTGAGTCTGAAATTCAGTTAGTTCAGCATCAATCCCATGTCCCAAGCCATCTTCAAACTCTACATGTGGCAGAGGCTGGCCTTGAACTCCTGATCTTATGGCTCTAGCTCCTAAATTCTGGAATTACAGGAGTGCACTACCACACCGTCAAAAGCCATCGGTCTTAAAGTGGTTCATCCACTGCCCTGGATCTAGAACTGCTTCCTCGGAGCTTTCTACTACATCCAGGGCATGTTCTAAATGGTCCCTGGGACAGTTCATTCCCACATTAAGTTTCCGTCTGTGACACAGCAATTATTGAGTCGTCCTAACATTGCTAAGCTTATTCTATTGGGAATCAGGTGTGATAACCAGTAAGTTAGAATCCTTATAATTTAAGAAGTGACCTAAACATGAAAGACAAAAATACAGAATTTTTTCTGTGTCTAATTTGAAAAAATAAAAAAAAAAAAAAAAAAAACAGGAGGAAAAGGGGAATGGGGTGGGGGGTGGGTAGGAAGGGAGAAAAGGTAAAAAGGAGAAAAGGAAGAAAAAGAAAGGAGAGAAAACTGTCGTAAGCAAGCTGATATGGCTCTAAACCGTCCTGCCAAATTCCTGCAGAAAACCATACTTCCCAGAGACAGCATGGAAAACACAAAACAGTAAGATGAGTTCCGTTTTCCCAAGAACTTACCAGCCTTCGCTTGGGCTTGATAAGGGGCCGGTTCTGTCCATTCATTTTATGGTACAGTCCACAGGCGTTGCAAAGGTAGTGCCCAGTACCATCTCGTCGCCACAGTGGGGTGGAGGTTGCCCCACAGTTCACGCACTCCCTGCCTTCTGGAAACAAGATCACAGATAAGTCACTTATGGAAGGAAAGCATACAAAAAGGGTATAACATTTAGAATTAAATATGAGGAAGAGTCTGTGAAATCCCTCGATGAATAAAGGCACTTGCCACCAAACCTGAATACCATCCCTGAGACCCACATGGCGTAAGGAGACAACCACTCCCAGAAGTTGTTTTCCATCCTCCATATATGTACACACACACACACACACACACACACACACACACACACACTGAAATTAGAAGGGAAAATAAAACAAAAACATTTCCAAAGTCATTTGGACATGGGAATAGTTCACCCATCTCCAAAGTGCTTCAAAGTTATGACTCTGTGTCTGACACAAGTCTTCCTGTTACAAACAGACGTCAGGTGAGTAAAGAGTAGCAGAGCCTTGACTTTGACACGTCCTACTTGGTGAGGAAGGAAGATAGAGCCAAAAGGAAGGAGGGAGACTTAAAACATTTCCCTAAGAGGATGCTGAGTGTGGAACAGTCAGTGTACAAAGCAAAAGATTTCTTTCATTTTCCTCAGAAGGAATAGTAAATGAAGCAATGAATGGTGACCCAGTTGGTCACTGGGCTGTCTATATAGATTGGCTCAATAATGGAGATTAGGATGGGGAGAAAGGAAAGATTAATCGATGGCTAGATAGATAAACAGATAATAGATGGAGGTGTAGATTGAGTAGCTAGAACTTCACATTTTTTACTTTCAATAAAACTTTAAGTGCCCCTAGTTGCAAAGTCATCAATTAAGGCCCAGCAGGACTGACTCAAACTCTTATTCTCAGAGTCACCCCTCCAGAAAATACCACATTTCCTGTAGGTTTCCAGCTGCTATTAGAAGGATTGAAGTTAGACTCTGCTCCCAGCCTGGCCAGCCAAGGGCTGATGGGAGAAAACACAGTACAAGCCTTTAGGCAGAAGATCTTCAAGAGGAGAAAAGCCAGGAGAAGAAAGAACAGAAGGGATAGAATGAAAGTCAGACAAAGATTGGGAGAAGAATTAGTTAAGAAGGTCCACTCATTAACTGAGGCCTGCAGTTTCTCTTTTTCCAAAACCACAAATAAACAAACAGAAAACCAGTCCATCCAGGTTTGTTCGCTCCCAAAAGCTGGCTGAAGCAGGACAGGGACCCACTCCCACAAAGTTCCTCGGTAGAAAAGGGTCCCCAGGAAGTAAACAGAGAGACGTCTTTGCACCTTCTGAAAGGGGGAAAGAGCCTTTCTAGAAGGACCTCTTCCACTTTGGGAAGAATGGAGAAATACAGTGGAGTTCTTAGTTTCTCTGGCCCATCGAGGAGGTAGTGGAAGGCCCAATCCCCTACAAGAACAGGCAGCTCAACTGGGCCCCTCACAGAGGTGGGTCAAAGCAATAAGACGAAGACACTCAGGGTGAATGGGGTATGTGTGTGAAGAACAACCCTAAAGATTTCTTTGAGGGGACTAAAACTATAGCATGATACAATAATAAAGTATTTGCCTAGCATATACAAGGCACTGGGTTTGCTCCTCAGCACTTAAAAGGGGGATCTCTTTGTCTTGAAAGATTAATCAATGACAGACAAAGTAAAGGAAAAAACTCCAGAAGAGCCATTTGGAATTCCCGCTTCCCAGGAAATGACCAAAGTCTACCTTGGTAGACAGAAGATCTAATGATTTTTGGAAAGTTCCAGATCAAAACCAAAGGAACAAGGGGTATTCACACCTGTGGGCTTGTCACCTTCTCTAGGGACAAATTCTTCCAAGTTACCATCACCGAAATTTAATTCCAATTCTTTCTAGCAGTGGCCAGAAAACCACTAGAAACATCGTTTTCACCTTCACCATTACTTGGGAGCTGTATGTAAACTTGATTTTTCAAAATGATTTGAGCAAATGTTTTTTCAACCAGATTACAAAAAGTCTAAGTGTGGGGTCTGTAGAGAACGCTTCCTTGATGTCCTAGAGACCCTGGGACTAGATATAAAACCTTTTACATATAGTCAAAGGTACTTCAATAGGAACTTGATCAACTTTTCCTGATTCCCCAAAGGTCCTAGAGTGTGTCATACCCAAATAATTTTCACGTGGGGTCAAACTCTGATGGGATATGACCAGTGGATGTGGAAAAGCTGAAGGGATGAGTGGGCGGGTAAGGAGGTACCAGCTGTAGAACCATGGCCAGGAGTCCTTGCTGTTTTGGCTTCCCAGTGTCTACTGCATCCACAGTCGAATGCTGGGAGATAGTATGGGCCATAGCCCAGCCAAGGCCTGCTTTCTATCCTGTCTACATAGGGGTCATTTAGATCCCCTTCCCTGCATAAGCACTGAGCAGAAAGGCATAGTGAAACTTGCTGCTTACACATTGCCTGCACCAGGCACAGCGGAAAGATAGCAAGTTGCTGCCCTGAGCAGGGTGAATGCCTAGGTACCCTGGCTGGTGCTGAGGGGATCTCCCAGCCTGTGGCCAGGCTGATTTCCTTTCCTTTGTCAGGTAGGAGGGAGACAGCTTCCTTTTCAGAGGGCCCTGAAAGCAGAGAGCACCACGATGGTTGCTCTCAGGCAGAGCTCTGCACACTAAAGACATTTTCTGTCTTGATTCACTCCACAAGTTTCTACTGCCTTGCCTGGTGTGGGCTTTTCTCTTTTCATTTCTCCCTGACTCTACTGTGACTTCAGCACACAGCCAATTTTCCTAATGGAGGGCCTGACTCTCCTGCTTTCTGTCTTCCTCTTGCCTCTCCCCCTGTCTGCTGTGAACTGCCAGGCAGACACCTCTCTTAGGTGACAAGAACCACAGAGCGGTGAGGCCTCTTGACATTCAACAGCCATTTCAAATGCCCCTTGGGTTTCGGACTGAAACTCTGAGTCTGGGCTGTGTAGGAGCAGAAGGTAGGTCAGCTATTTTTCTCAGGAGAGTGGAAGGGAGTACCCACATCCAAAAAGTGATCAGGGAAACTGAGAAAAATGACCCTTTGGGGAAAAATAAAAGCAACAGCAGCAGCTTTGTCTTTTGTTCACAAAGATAGATCCCAGACTGAAAGCAAAGACATCAAGAAGCAATACAAGCGCTGACCACAGCCTCAACCGTTTCTCCAAAGCACAGCCCTGATCTGCATCTCTTTTCTGTTTCTCACAATAAATGCATCTGCAAAAAGGAGGGGGAAAGGAGGAGGAGGAAGAGGGAGAACAGGATGAAGAAGGAAGAGAAGGGAAGGGGAAAAGGGGGGAAAGCAAAGGGAAAGGGGGAAGGGAAGGGAAATAAACCTAAGAGAATACCTGCTATAAGAATTCCCACTAGTCCACCCTCTGCATACTGAGAGCTTCTAGAAACTTCCCTCTACACTCCAAAAGTCCCAGATCCTTTGTAGACCAGGTATGCCACTCTTGGTTTTTATGGCTGTGAGAAAGGAGTAAGAAGGAGGAAGTAAAAAAAGTCAAATTTCGCCCCTTCACTAAAATAAGTAAATAAATAGAGTGCAGACATAGGTATTTCTAGCTCTGGTTTAGAGAAAACCTAGTACTATCCTGCTTCTCCCCACCCCCACCCCCTACAAGCTTAAGGAAAGAGATGAGAGAAAAGATCAAACCAAGAACAGAAAGTGTGCAAACCTAAGGAGATGGAACAGAAACATGGAAATGAGGGCACAGAAATAAGTCGTCTTCTGGAAAGTCAGAGCTCCCCCTCCCCCTCACAGCCACCACACCAGCCTCAGACCCGGAGCTTTCCTGACCTCAGAGCCCCACCAGTACAGAGAATTTTTGTTTTGCTTTGTTTTTAAACCCCATTGCAACCTCAAAACACACAACCTTCGTTCCTTGACTTCAGCCCTCCAGCAGCAGGTACTGGAGGCAACCAGTCCTTTTACCTCTCTCTAGGCCAGCGCCTTCGCTCCCCACAAGCCCCGTTCTTGCCCAGGCACCTTAGCAGACCACATTACTCCCTCAGCTCTCTTCCTCTAGCTTTCTTTTTGACTCTACCAACGAGCCTACCTCCTTCTCCCTCCTGCCTGCTTTCATGTACTGAACATGCAGGTCTGAGTTTTTCTGTCAGCCTAACCGCATCCGGACTCTATTAAAGTTCCTGGCCCAGGATAAACAATGCAACTGTCGCGTGCAGCCGTCTGAAAATAATTGGATTAGCTAAAACATATCAACTAAATAGAGACAGTCCTGCTCAGGCAGTCAGAGTGAATGTCACCCTGGGAAAAAAGAAAAAGAAAGGAAGAAAGAGAGAAAGGAAAACCCTGAAAACTGATCTCCTGGTCACTGGGCTTGCTGCACCCTCCTCCCTCTGAAGTCTTCCAAACCTAAGCGTGGTCTAAAGACTGCTCAACCAGCCCTTTATAGACAACTGATTATTTTTTTAACCATTGCTTTCTTTTTTTTATGCAATCTGTTTAGTTGGAATGGCCCACTCTGAAATGAGCACACCTTAGGAGACACAAGGGCCTTCACAAAATCCCTTCTAAAAATACACTTCAGTCTGACCACTCTCCTTTGACTGAAATGCTTCGAGTAGCCACAGACTGAGAATGAATTGGTCTTATTTCTAAAGCAAAGAAAAATTCTGCCTGTGTATGCTTTCCCTGCAATGACCTCGACAGAATCAATCTCTCAGTGTGCTGGAAAACACAGTTTGCTTTTGAGGGAAAGGGAAGCCGCAGAGGAAGCAGAAGCACACACCTGCAGAATCTTTTTCAGCCTCTCTATCTACCACACCTGCCTCCCAACCAACTCCAGAAACTGGAGGTCCTGTTCACACTGAATACTCCAAAATACACTGTAGACAAGGGACTATGCCAGGGAGACTGATGTTCCTTTAGCTCTGCTCCCCACTAGGAGCCACCTCCTGCCCTCAGAAGTTCAGTTAAGAGCCCCTTTTCCATGCGAAGCCTGCTGATTTTATAAAGTGTCTGCCTGCTTCCCAAATGACACGATCACAGGTTTTATTTATATGTGTCTCTATAAAGGACAGTCCTTGGCTATAGCCCCAGTGACCCTCTCTGGGGGGAGGGAAGAGGAACAGTCCGACTGACAGAGGCCAAAGGGGTCATAGGAGGGACCTGTGTTTGTTTAGGTTGGAGGAGGTTTCGTTTTAGCTTTAAACACTACAGATTTATTCCTGGGGCCTTCCATTTGGTCTTGGAAACTAAAGGTTGGCGGTAGGATCCAGAAGTCCCTCAGCAGGCAGGAGGAAAGGGCATCCATTTGTTTGTGTTAGTCTTTTTCCTTTCCCAGCTCATTGGGATGAGGGGGGAGGTAACAAGCAGATCACACTTCCCCTCTGCAGCCTAAGTCAATAGGAATTAAGACACATCACATTGTTCCCAGGCTGGAAGAAAATAGATCTCCGAAGGGCTGGGGGATACCCCCAGTTTTCTCTTTTCTTTCTTTCTTTCTTTTTTTTCTTTTCTTTTTTTTTTTTTTTTTTTTTTTTTTCTTTTTTTTTTTTTTTTTTTTTTTTTTCTTTTTTTTTTTTTTTTTTTTTTTTTTCTTTTTTTTTTTTTTTTTTTTTTTTTTTTTTTTTTTTTTTTTTGAGGGAAGGAAGGAAGGCCTCCTTTTGCTGTGACCTGCATGTAGAGGAAGTAGGAGGGAGCAAAAGAGAGATTCCCAAGGGTGGAGGTGGCGCTTACCTGTGCTGGATCGTGCCTTGGGCCTCGACTTACACCCGAACCCGGTAGGTGATCCTCCCAGCAGGCTGCTAGGTGGGAAGAGTCCGGAGCTGTACTCGGGCACGTAGGGCGGATAGGTGGTGATAGGGTGATGGGCTGAGGACGAGGCCCCTCCCAGGGTGGTCATGCTGCCTCGGGAGTGGGATGTCTCCAGCTTCATGCTCTCAGGAAGCGGCACCTGATACTTGAGGCACTCTTTCTCATCTTGCCTGGCGGAGCCGGCCGATCCCGGGGTGGACAGCGACGGGTCTGGGGAGACATCCTTCGGAGGGGTGGGCGGAAAGGTGAAGAGATGCGGACTGGAGTGGCCTGCGGCCAGAGAAGAAGATGAGGCCGGAGGGTAGACGGAAAGCGGCCCCGGGGAGCCGTGGTGGATGGACGTCTTGGAGAAGGGACTGAGGTTCCAGGGCGAGGCGGTGTGGTGGCTGCTCAGGGCTTTGCCGCCATCCAGCCAGGGCAGGGATCCATGCAGCAGAGGTGGGCGGCATACCTGGCTCCCTGCGGTGCCAGCAATGGCAGGGGAAGAGGAGAGAAAAGAGAACCGCATTGAGAGCTACCCTCAGACACACCTGGAAATTCTACCCCTGGCGCCCTCAACTTCCCAGTCAGCAAACCTCCAGGCCCAACCATGAAAGAGCTCAAAACTACTCTAATCTCCGTGGTTCCCTGAGCACCCGGCCCACACGCCTCGAGGTGGAAGCAGACCCTGTCCACACCCATCAAATCTAAAACGAAAGGCCTGCTCCTAGTACTCCAGAGGAGTTGCAAGGGCGTGGAGAAAGGTTCCATGGCTTATTTGTCCTGTCCAAATACACACTAAACCAGATTTCCTGGGGTCTCTCTCTAGAACCTGCCTTGATTTATTGGTTTCTTTCAATGGCCCTGATTCTCCCACCGCAGACTTAATCCCAACCAGGCTGATAAGAGTCAGCGTGAATGATGGGGCCTGAAGGATGAAGTGGGGCCACTCCACTCCTCAACCCTAGGGAGAGGCCCAGCTCCCCACACCTAATGCAAGGAAGGAAGGATGCGTCTCAAAGTTAATTTCAGAAAAGTTTAATGCTTGCTTAGAACTGGCAAAGCTGGTTCCAAAAGGCCTGAAATGGAAATCTGTAAGAAAATTTTCATTGTCCAAAACCTTGAAGGATTTTCCCCCTGTTCTTTCCTCACCCTTCTCAATCTTATAGGAAAAGAAAAGAAAACAAGCCCCTTGGCCCTGAAGACTTTCCATTCACTAGGGCAGTATGTGAATTTTCACCTGAGACACAAAATTCCAGTTTATGTGTTTATTTTGAACCAAGGGTGACTCACTCATATACAGAGTTCGGCCTTCACTTAAAATACACAATTTTAAGGCGTTCATGAGTTATCCAAGTTCATACTCTCTGATAGGGCACCCTTCAAACTGCAAGCGCAAATCTACACTCTTATTGATCTTTCAATTCAGTATGCCTCACCATCTGACATTCTTGTCAACCATTAAGAATAATACTGAAACTAAAATCTTCAGTGAGAGGAAGGGGAGGGTAGTCAAGAGAGATGGAGAATTCTCTTGAACGCCAAGGGTTAAGGTTCTTTTTATGCAGGAAGTAGTATAGTAAATAACATTAGGTCTGATCTACCTCATTTCCACTTAACTGCTAATCTGCACACAACCGGAGCAAAGAGCGCCCCGTCCGCAGAAATGACTGTTTAAACCCGGAGGCTCTATGGCGGAGGATACCTGCTGCCAGAGGGGCTATGAGTAGGGAGACCTGAGCAGACCTAGCTGACTGAAAAGCCTCACATCTTCTGAGCACAAACTTACAGCTTGGGAGTGTTAAGGATCCGCAGCTTGGGAGTGTTAAGGGTCCCCTATCACAACCACATAAGGTTGGGTTTCTTCCTTTCTTTTTCTTTTTTCAACACCTCAGAACTCCCCTAAACTTCTCAAGGTAAATAGTTTAAGGGAGGCAACTGAAAAGGTTCCTACTTAAAAAGAAACTTTGGTGTATCCTACATTTCTGAGAAGCCTATAGGAAGTACTGAAGGCCGGAGGAGAAAATAAGGCCAGGGTTGCTGGCAATTAAGCAACCCAAAAGCAAAGAAGTAGGAAAATTCTGTGTAACCGGGAGTCTAAGCAAACCTGACTTCTCTTCAACTTAAGGCTTTCCCCCTTTATACCGTGTCAACCACCAGATTCTCTTCCTCAAGCCACCAGTAGGTAGGAAATCTGCCTATAAAACTCAAATACACTAGCTTTGGGGGAAAGCCAAAGAAAGTAAAAATAAATACATGTGTTTGGGCCTTTCTGAAAATATTAAAAAGAGAAACAAATTTCAAGGATCTAGCGAAAGACCCCTTCCACCAAATAGTTAGAAGCTGGAAGTCCTTCAGAGGAGCCCAGTTCCAGGCCGGCCTGGCCGGCACTACTGCCCGGCCTGAACGGCGCGGCGCCTGCAGGCACAGCTTGAGATGTCCCGGCTGCAAAATCTGCAGCGTGTGGACCAGGGCTGCATCTAGGCGCCTGCCAGGTGAGCGCCTGACCCAAACGACACCCGCTAAGAGAGGCGCCTGCTGCACTCTTTTTAAAAAACACTCTCCCAACGAGCGACACTGCTTCCTCGCCCATTTCCGGGCCCCAATTTTTTTTTTTTTAAATGAACTAGTGACACACTTAGGGGCTTTCGCTGGCTCTGCCCAGCCTGAATCTCTGGCGATCTCCCGGACCCAGGAAAACATGAGCGGATCGAGAGGGTTCCTGCACCCAGGTGGACTCACCGTGGTGGGTCGGAGGATACCTCTGCACGGTAGCCCTGACGGAGTTTCCGTAGTAGGACGGGACGTGGTTGCCTTGACCATCGATGTTAAAAAGTACGTCCACCTCTTCCGTCAGGGGGTACTGAGCCTCCATGTACGAGTGGCCGAGGCCCGGGTGGTGCGTGTCCGGGTGCTGCCCGTTGAGGACCGCGGGGTGGTGGTGGCTCACCCAGCGCGGCTGGTCCGCAGTCACCTCCATGCCCTCGGCTACGCTCGCGCTCTCTCGCCGGGCCCGGAACCCTCGCGGATAGAGGGAGGGCTGTCGGCCTGGGAGGTCCGACGACTCCTGCTGTCGGAGGCCCGGGAGAGGGGTCGTTTAATGGTTTGTTTGTAGTGAAGTGAATAGAAAAGGTGAGCAAAAAAAGAGGGTTAGGGAGGAAAGAAAAATCTTTGTAGGATAATTTGACCAAAAGAAAGAAAGAAAAAAAGAAAAGGCAAATAAAGAAATAAAAAGGAAGGGAGGGGGAGGAAGAGGGAGACCCCCTCCAAAAAAAAAAAAAAAAGGTAGAAGCGGCTAAGAGGCCAAATGAAAAAAGAAGAAAGGACACTGGAATCCAAGTGTGGCCACACTGCACACTCGTTCCTTGGCGCTCAGAGACGGTTGCTCCTCCGGTCACCTGCAAAGGAGAGAAGAGGAGACCTGGATGAGCTGTAAGTACTTTAACACCTGAGATTCTGGAGGGCACTAGGTCTCCTCGAGCTTCCCGCAGGGCCGACTCACCGGGAACGTGCTCAAGCACGCGAAGACCCGGCGGGAGAGGAAGCCAAGCTCCGCAGCACATCTCGCAGGAGCCCGGGACTGACTAAGCAATTAAAACTTGGGGACAAGTCCTCCCTGGAGGACACCAGCCCCGGGATCTTTCCAACCACTACAAATCCTCCAAAAGAAGAAAGCTGAGCTTTAAGTTTACAAAAAAAAAAAAAAAAAAAAAAAAAAAAAAAAAAAACTAAAAACTCCCTCTAAGTGGAGGGAGGGAGATTAAAAAAAAGTCACAATACCGACCTGAGTAACAAGGAGAGGAGGAGGCGTGTGACCTGCCCGGTCAGATTGCGTAGCTCTCTATGTCTTGCTTTCTCAGTCTCTCTCTCTCTTTTTCTCTCTGTCTTTCCCTCTCCCTCTCTCAGTATTTTTTTTTTACAGGGAATGCATTCTTTCTGAAAGTATCAAGACGGCGCCAGGCAGCTCAGTGTTCGCAGACAGCTGTGGCGCGACGCAACTTAAGGAGGTTCTAGTGTCATCCGCGCCGAGGGGGAGGAGCCTGACTCTGGCAGGAGGGCACACGATCCCCAGCACAAGGAAACGGCAACCCAA